GGCTCTCAAACTGAATCATTATTTCCATTTCACAATTTGGAAGGAAAGAGATGAGCTCTGATTAAGAAATGTTCACTATTTATACTAATAATTTTTATCAGGTACCGGTTCTCTAACGATTTTTAAACGGTCTAATGTCGGTTGGACCACTAAAGTACGAGCCGTTCGCATTACCGGGTCATGTTCCGGTTCGATTCTGACAACCTTGAATTTTTTACCCTCACCTGCTGCAACCGCAAGCAGGGGACATTTTGATTTATGGTGCACGACGAGAGCAGAGGACCCACTAAGGTTTGGGCCATTAATAGGACCAAACACGGTACAAAATATATGCAAACTGGAGCTGAAAATGAAAGCTGGGTTTCTTTCGGGGCAGCTACTGTCCTACTTGCAAGTGGAATATTGCCTGGTATAGGGGAAGAAGAACTAGTCGTACGCAGCAGAGACTTGAAAGCGTTGCCAGATGTGTACATTGAATAACTAAGAAACGGTGTTTGGAGAAAAATTGGTTCACCATCAGCACCTCAATGTGGTAAGATATCGAGTGCAGTCTATGTCCTCGTGATGGCAAAACTCTAATTTGTGCAAAGGCAATAGTCCTATCTTCTCTGATCGTATTGTCTAACTCGTTTATCTCTCAATGGACTTGCAACTCTCTTAACTCAGCTGCTTAACAAAAATGGTTACATATTATTGTTGCTATATATAATCTATAGTTTTGTGGTTATTATTCATTAATCATTTTTTCTAATTGTTTCAACGGCAACATATTTTTGGACCTTGCTACGGTGACATGCATGTTATCCTAACTTGCACTTTTAGATCGACCTCATATAGGATTACGTCGACCTAATATGCACTTTAAGGTCGACCTTATATAGGATTAGGTCGATCTAATCTGCACTCTTAGGTCGAACTTATATAGGGTTAGGTCGATCTAATATGTCGTTTCAGTTTTGTGAGGTTCAACGACGCGGTTGACCTTTTATAGCAAATGGTCGACCTCTTTGGGAAGCGAACTGAATGAAAGGTCGACCCAAATACCTCATAGGCCTATCATTTTGATTAACTGAGGTCGACCACATAAGTATGAGGTCGACCGCGTGCACACCGTATCCGTATTGGATAAGGATTCCAATACCAGAAAGGTAACCCTAACTTATCTACCGCTTAATTCGACTCATTCTCGTCCTAAATATCTATAAATACGAATATATGTCACCTTCACCGCCATAGAAACTCTGAATTAGGTTTTGTTTTATGGTTAGAGCTTTTGTGAAGAATATCCTTTGCAGTTGCTGCTGTACGTGATTCAAGAGGTCGACCACGTGGAAGTTATGAGTCCTTGTTATTATTATTTATGACTAATTCTGTTGGTTTGAAATGTAATTTGTACGAGTAAAAGAACCACCCACATCGACATACATAAGCAAAAAAGACGCAGGGCATAGGTTGATTTTCTTGTATTCGGTCGACCTTGTACCGGATTAGGTCAACCGCGAAACCAACACTTGATCTTGATTTTACATCAAATGATGATGGATAAATGGATACAACACTTCTCTTCTATCTGGTCGACCTCTTTCTGTAAATGGTCGACCATTTTGTTAATGAACGTCATCAAGTGGTCGACCTATATACCTTTACGGTCGATCATTTTGCTTCTGACGCCAATGAAAAGGGCGACTGATTTTTTTTAATGTTATCGACCAACAATGACAACTTAAACTACAAAACGATCGACCACTACATTTTAAAGGTCGACCGTGATAAGTCATCAGGGTGCCCACATTAGTGTATTCGGAAACCTCACAAAACTGAAACGACGTATTAGGTCGACCTAATCCTATATGAGGTTAACCTAAAAGTGCAGATTAGATCGACCTAAAACTGCAAGTTACGGTGACATGCATGTCACCATAGACATACCCATATTTTTATGTTTTTCTTTTAGCCTCATATATTGGTCCTGTTCTTATTTCTTTAAAACATATTGCCTCATTCACATTTTTTATTTTATTTCTTTTAGCTTCACATGGTAACCTTTTTTTAATCTTTTTTTCTTTTATTTATGTGCTAAAACGAATTTTGTATATAATTTTGCATTTTTACTCATATATATATATATATATATATATATATATATATATATCTCATTCGATTCCGAATACATGGACAACCGGGAAATCTCTAAATTCCCATCGAAGAAGACAAAAGTGGCATCGGAATTGATCGAACATGTTATTCTTACTCAATAATTTGCAGATCTTCCTCCTCTAACTCATTATCTTATTGTCCAACGAGTGAAAATTGTTATGAACATTTCCCACGAAATTTATTTTGTCATACAACACGTTTACAATAACATTTTCCATTGGCCGTGAAATCTGAAATAACCATATCCAGTTGATATAAAAGAGAGGCCTCGAAGGAAAACTCTGCGAAAAACTTACAATGGGATGGGACCAAGCGAGGGCATTATCCAAATCTGAAAGAAAGCTAAGAATGAATTGGAAAAGTAAATAGAGAGGGCAAAGAAAGATTGAAAGGAGGGAGAATGGCTACCAAAAAAAAGAAAGGAAGAGGGAGAAGAGAAGAACACAAGTGCTGGTCAAAAGGATTAATAAAGGACTAAAAATGGGATGGAAACACAAACACCCTCCAACTTTCTACGGGGAAAAAAACAAAGGGTGAGAGAGGGTGGATTCCTGGACTAGATAGCTAGAGCCTAGAGCACCATCCAGCTAGCAGAGAAGAAAGAACAACGAACGCATTCCTTCTGTTCCCTTTTGTACTACTACTACTACTCTTTTCGTCTCCGACTCGGCCTTTTCTCTCTATAAATGACGCACTAGTTGTAGTGGTGTAGCCAGACTTAAAATTGATTGGGGTCCTTCAAAATTTTAAAACGTTTTAGTCTGTGTATCTAATGAACTTTGAGTTGATGGATGTCCTTAAATGAGCTAACATTAACAAAAGTATGGGGTACTAAATACAAATGATCATACTAAATCTTACATATCTAAAGGGTTTTGTTGGCCCTATTTTTTTCCAAGTGGGATCCTAGGACCCCTCTCCTCTACATTCGGCTCCGCCGCTGACTAGTCGGTACTGTTAATCATTATTCATAAAATTGTGTCTAAGCGTAAGGCGCTAGACATCATCAAACTATCTTGTTTCGAAGTTACTCAACAAGTTAGGAATCCAAAATACATGAGTAGAATAAGAGAATACTTATGTGTCGCATATACATATTCAGGTTGAGTTATGCAATCAATAAGAAAATGGAACTTAATATCATTTGAAAATTCAATATTTTGGTACCTCAAGAACTTCATGAGCTATTGATTTATGATTCTAGGAACTTGTGAGCTATTTTTCTTATTGCTAAGTATTAATTAACTTATATATAATTTAACTGAAGTGCGAAAGTGTTGTGAAAATGCTATTATATTCATCATTTGGTATAAATTGTTTTTTTTTTTTTTTTTGTTTCCATGCTATAGGGGAGATTAACCTACGCCTGGACAAGCTTGACACTAGAAAAGGTCCCAACACATTTTTTATGCCTACCTTCTTCTTTAACATTGCTGATAATACTTGAATCAAGTTAGTGCTCTTGCACTTCCCGTCAGATTAGGCGTTTAACATCCCTAACCTATTTTCATTCATCCTTGCAATATTTCACAATAAACACGTTTAACTTCGTAATTCTTATGAATAATAGATATCTTCGGTACTTGTACAACTTATCCAATTTATTACAAAACCTATCTGCTCACGTCTTGAAAAAAAAAATTTATCATTTATGAAAATATTATTCTAATATCCATCTTCTAATTGTATAATAATAATTAAGAGAGATTTGTCGGAGAGGGAATAAAATGAAATAACCCCAAACCCTAAAAAAACAGGCAGAAATTAAAGAATCTGTTGCCCCATCATCATCTCGCCTCTCAATCAGTAGTTAAAGAAAAGGAGGGAGAAAAGAAAAAAAGAGAAAGTGTGATTCATAATTGGCAACACAACGAAACAACCATCCATCATAATCCCCCACATGCATCAACGATGATTGACGACGGCCAAAGTCGATCCAGCGGGAAAAAGATAGAGACTAGAGAGAGATGTATATTGGCCCCAAAAACAACAACAACAACAACAACAACAACAACAACAACAACGTGGACCCCAATCTCCGTCCTACGGCACGTTTCCTACCTTGCAATTCGGTGGTGGCGGATGCGGTGGCGACTGCTGGACTGGAACCCACCCCTCCGGCCACCGTTCATCCCTCTCCCACCGACACCGCACCAAATCAAAGTTGTAGTAATCAACCATTCAGCCCACCGCCACAGGATAAATTAAAAAATAATCATGAAAAAAGCCCAAAAGACAATTCCCCTATTTGTCAGTCAGGGTTTCTTTTTCTACTGCAAATTAACGAATCCAATCATTAACCCAACTATGTTAACCTCCGCAACGTGTTAAAAGAGAAAGATAGAAAGTAAATTACTTCAAGGAAAGTGGATTGATGTGTTTGTACAGAAATATATTACTTCTCAATATTTTTGCAAAACATTAGATTCTCAAAGTTATTGTCATTAAAACAGTGTAAACTCGAGTTATAAGGATGATTTATTATTGACATGTTGTTCGAGTGTGTTATGACCAAAAGGTTTTCTCATCAAAGTTCTACTACTACTAATATTATCAATTGATTTAATAACAAGATATGACGGACTTGTATAAATATGAAGCTCATAAGTTGGCAATTGGCTTTCATTCACGTATATATAATAAGGACATTAAACCAGCAAATTGTCCCCCGTCGATCAACAATGGATCTAATCGGCAGCGAAATCATTACTCCAATAAAAAAAATGTAATTATATTAAAATATTCTGCTTTAAGCAAAGATCATAAGTGTGTGTAGCCCATTTCGGTGAAAGCAAACAGATCCATATGCAATCATCATTACAGAACACAAGCCATGTTCGTGTATTTGGTAATGGAGCCCCGAGATGAACAACAAAAGCTCGATGGCCAAGCTAGTAAGCTACCATTAAAAAAAAAAAAAAAAGCTATATATATTATATAATAATAAAAAATATGCAGCATCAGAATCTTAGAAAGGAATGGCGAAAAACGACACCCATCTACCTGTACTCCATTCCACTAATTGAGTTAAATTATTCATCAATTCCTTTATACAAACCAAGAAAAAGAAAAAGGAGGCAGAAGAACAAGAAGAAGAGAAGAAACTCCCCCTAATTTATATATGAATCCTCCTGTAAGTTCTATAAAATAATATACCACAAAAATAAAGAAAAGAAGAACCCAAGGAAGGGGAGTAGGCATATTAAACAAAAAGGAAATTAAATCGAGAGAAAGAAGAGAAGAGGAAGGGAACCTAATTTATAAAAAAAAAAAAAAGAGAAATCATAATGACAAAAATGAAAACAATTTTTTCTTTCTCTTTTCGCCGCCCGGTTAATTTTTTTTTTAATGTCTGGACCGACCGGCGGAGATGGCGGGATCACTGCCGCGTGTTCTGCAGCCTGGTGCCAATCATTTTGAGCTCGAACTTCTTGACCGCCCAGGCAATGTCCCTCATCGTCGTGTCCAGCTCGTATGGCGTCTTGTCGAAGTAAGTTTCGCTCACGTTCAGCAGCGTCTTGCACGGCTCCCTCCTCTGCGCGATCGAGCCGTGGTAATGGTAGTACTTGATCTTCCCTTCCGTCTTGTGGTTCGTCTTCCCCACCAGGTTCTGCGACATGTGCACCCCCGTCGCGTACACATTCCTCGGCTGGATCGCGTACTTCCGGTCCCTCCTTATCCCTTTCTTCACGTCCTTGTACACCAGCTTCTCCATCCCCCATTTCCTGCATCAGTGTACAGAAAACCCCACAATCAGGAACCAACCCAATACTCTAATTCACACAATGTGCACAACCCATTTGACAATTCAGCCCAATTCCATTCATCCATAGTGAAAGGTGGTTTCTTGATTTCATCAAAATGGTATTGTTCGTCTTTCTGTCTATGATGGCAATTGGAGATCATTTGGGGGAACTCTTCATCAACAAGAGAAAAGGACGGACCACATATATGAAAAGAGAAAAACAGAGTGATTGAGCTTTAGACAAAGTATGAGAAGGGTCTCCATCATGGCTACACAAGAACAGGACAGCGAAAGAGGTCTTCATTTCAATGGTCACGCCAGAAAATGAAATGAATGATAATAATTCCAACCACCACTGGTCTCACTGGATCTCTCCTTCCCTTCCCTTCCCTTTCTTCTTGGATGCTTTGTTTTCCCTTTCTTAATTCATTTTCAATGCATACTCTTTATTATCCCCACCATCCCTCTATTCCATATTTCTATTCCCCTGTTTCTGTTTTGTTTTGTTGCCCTCGCACTCCGGCAAATGGACTAGTATTAGCATTCAAGCAACCACCCACCATCACAGTCTTCAAAACCCCACATTATGCAAACCAACAATAATTCCATTCCAGACTAGAATGAGAATCCCCGGGTGCTGCTTCAATTTGTGCGTAAATAAACACTAGTTTATGTTTCTAGTTTATACCATAATGACCAATATGAATCTATGACTGATTGACGGTCAGCATACATAATTGCAGGCAAATTAGGAAAGAGCAGAACCCAATTCAAGTAACGGCGCAATAGGAGAACAAAAAGAAAGGGCAACTTAATTGAGAAATGGGGTTACCTGTAGTATCTGCCATAGTCGGCGGTGAGGCAGAGCTTGCTGTTCATGGGCATCTGTTCAATGGTGAACTGGTTGTACTCGGAAAGCGAATCCAGAGTAGTTTTGATGGTGCTTTTAGGCGGGACGTAGATGAACTCGTCGACATCGAAGAAGAACATCCACTTAGCCATGAACTTGTAGCGGTGAAGGCAATCGTTCACCACCATGAACTGGTTGTGGTAGTACCCATCGAACCTCTCCTGGTCCCTAATGTCCTGCAGCGTCACGTAGCCCAGGTCCATCCACGGCTTCAGAACCTCGAACACCTCGTCGTAGACGCCGCCGGCGTCGTGAATGACGAAGTGAGATCTCTCCCCGAACAGCCTCACGTGGTAGGCAATCCACTCCCTCACCCTCTGCGGGCTCAGGTTGCCGTACAGCGACGACCCGCAGTAGAGGTAGTCGTACTTGGGCTTGGAGGTGAAAACCCCAAAATCGACGCTCCCTTTCGGCTCCTCCAGGACCTGGATTCGGTCGGTGGTGTTGAATTTGGTGTCGCCGCCGCCGGATGTGGAGGCGAGGAGGTAGAGCTTGCCTCCGGAATTGTCGGTGTTGATTGGCTCGGAGAAAGTACAGTTCACGATGACGACGGTGTAGACCCGGCCGTACCCCCAATCGGGAAGCATCTTGTAACCGACGGTGGTTATCGGAGGAGGAGGAGCGGCGGAGGAATTGGAATTCGACGACGGTTCGGGGACCCACTCGCATTGGTAAGTGGGTTTGGAGTAGAGGTGGAGAGGCTTGGAAGCGAGACCGTTAATGGCGAAGGTGTTGAGCCCGCCTCTGTAAGTCCCCATTGTGATGAAATTGTAGGCGGCGGAGCCGTACGGGTTGAACACGCGCTTGATTACGCCGTTCTCGAGCACCTTGTCCTTTTCGACGGCGGGGGGAGACGAAGGAAGTGGAGGCGGCGGAACGACGAGATGCGAGGCGGTGTGGGCGGCGGAGGAGGAGGAGGAGTTGAGAGCGGCGAGGGCGGCGGCGTCGGCGGCGGTGGTGGTGGAGATAGTGGTGGTGGTGGTGGTGATTCGGGAGATGCAGAAGCGCAGATCGGAGGTGGAGATGGTGAAGCGGGAAGGGAGGAACTGGAGGAGGGTGGCGACGGAGCAGAGGATGAGGAGAGCGGTCAAAAGGAGCTTGAGCTCGGCGGCGCAGTTCCATACGACTCCCATAAACAGCTTCTTCTCGCCGCCGGCTGCTGATTTCTCCCTTTCCTTGGCCATGGTGTTGTTGTGGTGGACGACACGGAGGGTGTGGGAACAGAGCCTCCCGACCGGAGTCGACCCGAGTCCTCTGGTTTTTCTTCTTCTTTAAAGTAATGGGTTTGCGCCTGCTGTCAGTGCTGTGGAGCAGAAGAGAAAGTACGAATGGAAGGAGGTGGGCGGTGGTGAGGTGAGGAAGGAGAAGCTCAGAAGCAGAAGAGAGAGGGAGAGGGAGAGGGAGAGGGAGAGGGGGGAAATTCTGTTTTTAATGGAGGGGGAGAGAGGGCAGGGGATGGGGGAAGTGTCTTGTTTGTTTGCCAGTGCTGTGCTGGAAGTGTAAGTAAAGCGGGTGGCTTTTCTTGTTTTTTTAATGTGGAGGGGGTGAATGGTAAAAAGATGAAAGAGTGGGGAAACAAAAGTGTGTAAGAAGTAAAAAAGATAACAATTTAGGGCTCGTTTGGAAGTTGGGATTTCATATGATGTATTTAACCAATACATGTAATCAGAAGAATTCATCGTTTTTTTGGCTTAAAATGAAACAGAATGCTTGTATTTGAACAGCAAATGGGCCCACCAGAATCATTCATTATGAATGATTGTCAATCTCAACTTTAAGTAGAGATTGTGTTTGAGGGATTGTTGTCTTACTTTTTGTTCCTTATTCTTTGAGGGACCACCAAAATCATTCAATCTCCAAACAATGTATTTTTCAAATTCATACATTGAAACAATGCATCTAATTATAATACATACATTGATTAAATACATCAATTTAGAGAATCCTAACTTCCAAACATGCCCTTAACCTCAACTTGTAAGCAATGTGGTCAAAATTGTGTTCTAAAGTTTACAATCTTACCTTTTATGTTTTTAGTTTATCAATATATTTGTAAGCAGAATTACATTTTTTTACTGCATTGTTTGTGAGTGTCCAATTCATTCCAATCGATTGAAGTCAGTAAAATTTTCATTGAAGAGTTTCGGATTGGAAATGAACTTGGTCAATATGGGTCTGCTTTTTATGTAGATATGGATTAGTACTTATGTTTTTAGTCTTTATAACAATATACTTGTTGAAATTTTTTCAATATTATAAGAATGTGAGTATTTCGAGTAATTATATACTGTTATATTTGCGAAAATATGAGGATGTGAGTGTACTTATTTGATTGATTTTGAATTTGGAGAAACTCAGATGAATTGCCATCTAAAAAGGGCGGTCAAAATCAGACTTAGGGCGCCTGAATTTTCTTGAGGCTAGAATGTCGTGGGTCGGGTCGTTCTTGATTAAGCATATGGGTTGGAATTGGATTTTCCTTATAAGTTGAGGTTTCTTTTCCTCCTTCCAATCTCATTTTCAGACATTTCCCTAATAAAGGCAGAGGGAGATGCAATGTCTTTTGCATTCTGTCTTCACTCGTTTTTATAGTAAATTGACGTTTTTGGTATTAGAAGGTGTATTTGGTGAATGAGGTTCTCTGAATTTTGCATTAAGTTGATTATTGTGCCATAAAAAATGAAAAAAAATTAATGGTAAGACCGTAAGAAGAATATTCTTCAGAAGTTCTGTCAGAAAGTTAAAATCTTATTAAAGTTACCGTAAACTAATAATGACATTGACTTTCTTTATTGAAATCACAATACAAAGCATTTGAAGTACTAATGATTTTATTGGTTATTCCATTGTTAGATTATTGTCTTAGGAACAATATATGTATTAAAGATTTTAATATATCATAGATTACAATTTGTCATGATCGTGTTTTTAATAATTAAAAGAAGAGTAACTTTCTAATGATCACTTGTATTGTTTCTTTTCAATGCAAATTTTTTAGGCAAAATACACTTTCATAGTCATAACTTTCACGTTTGTGACAAATATAGCCAAAATTATGGGAAAATATAAAATAACCACTTCCGTCCATCTATTTACCAGTGTTACTTAACAATCTGACTGTACAGACGTAAATGCTGACCTGGCAATTTCTCGTCCGACACGTGGATTAATAAAAAATGAAATTTTTCTATTTAGTAAAATATAAAAGAAAAAACCCTTAAAACCCTAGCCGCACAAAGCTTATCTCCCTCGTTTTCTCTGATTCTTTCTGGAAAACCAACAAAAAAGAAGAGAAGAGTACAGATGAAATCCAGTCGATCTGCCCGTCTCTCTCGATCTTCTGATCCTTCCCTACTCTCTCTCTCTCCTTTCTCCCTTTCTAAAAATGACGAGAAGAAAGGAAGAAAAGAACGCCAACGATTGAGGATGGCGATGACGAAGGTGTTTGACGCCATCGATGATGAGGACGGAGGAGGCGAAGGCCAGAGGGTTTCAAATTTGGTCTCAAGGAGATGAGGGAAAGAAAGGCGAGCCGCGCCGCCAGCGATAGCAGCTACCGTTGGCAACGAGAGAGCGTCGGGGGAGAAGTTTCAGATGGGGAGAGATGGAAGGAAAGGAAACCGTCGTAGACAGAGGCGAATAATCTTCGGCTGTGATGATGACGAAGCAAAGGGAGGAAGGGGAAGGGTCTCACATAGTTGGCGATGAATCGAGGAGATTTGTCAGTCAATTGATTCCGCTTCCCGGGCCGTTCATTTGGGATTGCTGGGTTTTTGACTGATAACAAGGCCTCACCAATCGATTATGTTTCCCAAACAGCTGTCAAGCCTGAATCGAGAAGAAGTTTCTAACAGAAATGACTAGATTTGTCACAGCACCGTCCAATTTTTGGGCTATTTTGTGTTTTCCGATAGTTTTGGCTATATTTGTCAAACGTGAAAGTTATGGCTATATAGATGTATTTTGACAATTTTTTACTTTCCGTAGCCCAGCTTCTAGAAGTAAGAAATGATAATTGGGGCGAAGCAAAAAAATGGCATGGAATTCAGTCGACTTTAAGCACAAAATGGTACCTTGGCAGCCATTCTTGGAGAGTCTTAGATCAACCTAAAGATGTGTGGAAATGCATTACTTGGAGGGTAAACAGAAAGATAAGCATGGTGCTTCGTCCAAAGAGTTTTACTTCTACTTTCTCTCTAAAAAAACATGATAGAAGAGCCAATAAATAAAGTCTCTTTGCCTTCATTCGAGACATAAGTTGTACAGTGGGTTACTTTGCTTACACAGGAACTCATTGGTCCCTAAACGATCATAGAACTTGAGGGCATAATGAATTCCGATGTTAGAAATGGCCCCTAGGAGCCTTGCGGTCGCAGTTTTTCCAGAATTTTGGGAATTTGGTCTTTGACTAATATTTTCACTAGTTCTTGCCACCATAAGTGGCTAGTTAATTAGTTGTGTAGATTTGTGAACCCTAGAGATTCTTTAGACAATGATGTTTGATTCTTGATTATGTGACATATGCAACCGCAAAATTGAACTGCCCACGTGACTCCCTAGCACGGACCACACGCTAGATGGTGACTAGCCAGTAGGGGTGGGCATTCGGTCGGTTCGGTTTCGACCGAACCAAAATTATGAATACCGGGTCCCCGAATACTCCCAAACCTCAACCAAATTCGAACCGAATTATAATTCGGTTCGGTCGGTTTAAACTGAATTATAATTCGGTTCGTTTTTTCACACAAAACCGAATTTGTGAGGCTACTCGTATCTTCTCACTTTTAAATTATTTTCACCCCTAATATAAACAATTAATATCCAATTATATGCATCATGAATGATAAATCAAACTTTTCAACACATAAGTCATAAAACATTTCAAATATTTAAGTCTAAAAATAACTACAAACATAAAAATCCACCATTTGGAGGTTGCAATTATAGTATTTCGGTTTTTCGGTCGAAATTTCGGAATTTCGGTTCGGTTGAAAGAATCCCGATTTCCGAAATATCCATATTTTCCTTCCGAATTTCGAACCGAATAGCATTATATCAGTTTCGGTTCGGTTTGATTCGGGTTTACCGAACTGTTTGACCACCCTTACTAGCCAAGACATAAAAGCATACTGAGTAGAGAAATCTATTGTGGAATCACTCAACCATGCAACAATATCTACGAAGTGAGTCTAAAGAAATTCTATACGGAGCTTGCTTATGCTACACATTTCTCTTCTAGTTTATCTGGTCTAGTAGCATATTGTTTTGTTTTTTCCTTTTGATTTTCGACACAAGTAAAGGGAACCTCAACCGAGCTAGGAGGCACCACAACCTCCACATTTTACTAACCCAAAATGGAGGCTGGATCCTGTGATTAGGGGGAGCTTAATCATTGACTAAGCCCCTCCTAGCCTTTAGATCTGGACAAACCAATATGACAGTTAAAAAGTGGGAAGAGTTTTTTATTTAATGACAGGGGTAGTTTGGGTATTACGGAAAATTATGAAGTATACAAACCGACCTTACAAACCATACAAACATACGAACAATACAAACTAGAGCGACAAAACATACAAACAGATTTACAAACAATAAAAAAACGTATAACTATACAAACAATACAAACTAGACCAAAAAATATTACAAACCATAAAAAATGGAAAAACAACCAGGTTGACTTTGGAGGTTCCATCCCTATATAGAGGGCCACCGTCCCAAAGTCAACTCGGTTGTTTTTTAGACATACAAACATTACAAAAATGGTGGACAAAAATTACAAACTAGACCGACAAATCATACAAAATGGTAAACAACCAATTAAGTTCACTTTGGAGGCTACATCTCTATGTAGAGGACTTCCGTCCAAAAGTCAACCAGGTTATTTTTTAGACATAAAACATTACAAACATGGTGAACAGAAATAGCAAAGCTTACAAACATTACAAAAGAAACCGACAAACATTACAAAATAACAAAGTTTACAAACATTACAAAAGAAAACGACAAACAGTATAAAGCATACTAACTGTACAGAATACCACTACTTAAAATACAAATCGGTAAACTTTTATTACAAACCAATTAATACAAAGATACAAATCATAGCATAAAAGTATACAAAATAGACAAACAAACATTATAAATTACATTATATACAAAATAGTCATATAAACATTACAAACATAATAGATTAAAATGACAAACAATACAAACCGAAAATGATATAAACATTACAAACCGAACTTATAAACATTACAAAGTATGTTGACAAACATCACAAATCCAGCACTGGCGTCGGAAAATTCTCATTTGCCGTCTCCAGTCGCCGAAAAGCCTCCTTCATCGCCAAAAAACGTTGTCGGAAAAACATCGTCGGATAAGGAAACTCTCTCTCTCTCTCTCTCTCTCTCTCTCTCTCTCTCTCTCTCTCTCTCTCTCTCTCTCTCTCTCTCTCTCTCT